AAAAGCGGAAAAAAAACAAAAAACTAAATTTTAAATCAAATAATGCCGTGAGCTATAACCTACCATTCACTCTGAATGAACTAAATGGATCCTTAAAGAAAGCTCACAATAGAGCTGTGGGCTGATGATATCCACTAAGAATTTATAAAACAGTTACCCAACAAATCATTACAAGTGTTATTAGGATTGTATAATAATATATGGAAAAAATCTCAACTTCGCAGAAATGAGGAGACAGTTATCTATCATCCGCATTTCAAAACCTGCAAAGGATGACACAGAGCCTGAAAACTACAGACCAATAGTATTAACCGGTTGCCTGTGTAAAACTATGGAGATAATGGTCAACAACAGGTTGACTTGTTACCTGGAACCTAAAGGCTTAATCAGCGACTTAGGAAAAAAAAGAAGCACTATAGACCACTTAATATACCAAGAAACCTTTGCAGGGAAAGCTTTTATTGAGAAGGAGATCTCACGGCAGTCTTTTTTGATTTGCAAAAGGCGTATGACACAACATGGAAATTTGGTATCTTGAAAGAATTGCATGAACTGAGCCTAAAAACAAGGCTGACTCAATTTAAAGAGAATTTCTTGGAAGACTGAAAATTTCAAGTCCATATAGGGACTATGCTATCACAACTGCAAAATCAAGAAGAAGAGTTTTTACAAGAAGAGTTTTACCGTTTTCTGTGTCAAAATTAACTCCATAGTTAAATCTCTAGGCCCAATACGAGACTGGAAACCAGGAGGCAGGGTCGTGTTTTTTTTTTTTTTTCTGGTTCAAATTAACCTTAAAAATGATCCAAAGTGAAACATATGGAGAAAGATTCTAGCTGAAGGATTATTTGTAAACTGTTTTCAAAAGGCACAGCAAATAATCGTCTTCTTCTATATGACGCGACCATTCAGAACATAGGCAATCATGGCTCTCCACAACTTCTAATACTATATTGATCTCGCTATATGCATACCATAGAAAGACAACTTCAGCAATGACTCAATAAAATATACAAACGAGCCACGGAAAATCGTTTTAGCTTTTTTCAAAATGAAAACCAATGCGTACATTTCTGCAAATTAAGGAAATTGCACATAGAACCCTGTTTAAAATTAGACGAAGCCAGAAGTGGAACAACACAATTTCCTAGGAATATATTTGACAAAAAATTAACATTCATTCCTCATCTAAAATATTTAAAACTAAAATGTAGTAAAGTCCTCCAATTTCTGCGTGTGGTAGCCCATATTGAATGGAGAACAGACTGACAAACATGAAATTATACAGATGATGACTTCGCTCAAAACTGGATTACGCTAGTCGGCTGGCCAGAAAATCATACTCAACAAAATCTCTCATCAAGACCTTAAATTAGTACTTAGGGTTTTTAAGACATCCCCAGTGGAGAACTTATACACAGAAGTTAATGAAACGCCTTCACATTGAATGCGCAATAAAATGCTACTACAGTATTATGTCAAAATAAAATCATGCCCAATTAACCCAGCTTAAAGCAGTACTTTAAATCTAATTACTGTGATCTATTCCAACAAAAAAGAAAATACAATACAACACTATAGACTCAGAATAAAATCCATTGCTGAAGTATTAGAGACAACACACTCAAACATGCAAGAAACGACTGCAGCCAGTAATTTCACTATGGACAATCAAGCAACCTGAAGTCTTGTTAGAATTAAATGCACTCCCTAAACAAAAGGCACTCGCTCAACTTCCAGGAAAAGTTTCTGGGTATATCGAAAAACCACCCTAACTATACATCCATTTATACAGACGGGTCAAAATGTGAGAACAAGACAAGATGTGCGGCAGTAAGTCAAAATATTTAAAAAAAAATAAAAATAAAAAGTGCCTCCCCAAGAAATTTCTTTTTCACTGCGGTGGCTTATTCAATAGAGCTAGCTCTCAATAGAATTGCACAGAGCAAACAAAAAAAATCTTATTCTTTCGGACTCACTATCCGTCCCAATGGCTTGGAAGGAAAAAAATATAACAACTCACTAATTATCAAACTATTATTTATAATGACCACTACTTTTATGCATAAAGAAATCAAAATATGATTCCAAGCCACATCGGAGCGGAAGGTAACAATAAAGCAGTCTTAGCAGCGAAATCAGCTTTAGATATGGATGTAGATTCAACAACCAAAATCCTGTACACTGACTTTAAAGAGGTCATTAACATATAAATTCAAAAGAAATGGCAACAATGCCGGGACGATAACCCACAGGATAAGCTCTTCGCAATTCAGACCAAACTAGGAGAATGGAAGTCGGTTTTCAGAAAATCTTGAAAGGAAGTTGTAGTAGTGGTCCGCTTACGCAGTGGCCACACGCGAATAAAATAAAAATCTATTGTAAAAATTTTGTCGACATTAAATAACCTATTATGGCTGATATGTCATAAAACAAACCAAACCAAACAAGCAAAAAAAGACATTTCTTATAATGAAAATATTCATGAAATCGCAAATTT